GCTTGGGGCTTAGGTTTGTTGGGCTTACGGTTTAGGGTTTGGGATTCGAGGGAAAGATTGGGGGATGATTGGGGTGCTGCGGGTTTGCGATGTCACCATACGTTGAATCATTCTTGTACGGGCAGCATTGAGACACTTGCGATCAGCGTCGACTCGTAGAGAAAGGTCCGCCTCGCCTACTCCTTCCACTGGGGTCCATGGGCCACGAGGTTTACGGCGACCGACCCCGTGGAGCACTGCAAGCATCAACAACACGAGCTTAGAATTCCGGAAACGAGCACAGACACGCAACCCCATATCCGGCTGAATGCTGGCTCACCGATAACTAGACAAGAAAAAAAGCAATGGCGAGCCTTCGGGGTCTGAACCCTAACCCCTAAACCCCAAAACTTCGAGCCCCAACCCCGAAACCCTCAAGACCCTAAGCCCCTACCCCCTAAACCCATAACCCCTAAACCCTAAACCTCCTCTCCCAAGGGAATGCCTGCACCGCCTCGTTGAAAGCCAAGCGCTTTGGCCACGCGGTCAGCGCCTTTTTGAGCTGCCCGGCATTGGGAAGAACTACAGGGGCACATTGAGGAATACTTACAACGGTTACCATAAGGGTTACTGTAAGGATGCAACACATGATAATAGAAGGGTCACCACAAGGGATTACGGTGGCTGAGAGTTTCACATGCAAAATAGAACAAGGCTTTGGGTTTGTCAAGGTACATGTTAATAGAAACCCTCGAGGAAATCGTACAGGCATTGGCCACAGGCTGTTTGCGGGCCTGGGGCTTGTTTAGGGTCTACGATTGGATCTCTTTAAGCTTCGAATTCGTTTTGAGCGCCTTGTCGTCCGGCTGAGTACAGACTTGATCTCCTCGGGCTTCGGGCTTCCGGGTTTAGGCTTGAGGCATTTAAGGCATTTAGGGTTTAGGGTCTGGGGCTCAGAGTTTGGCGCTTATGTTTCGAGATTTTTGAACTGCAGCTCAGTTCAGGCGGGGATTTGCAGCTCGGTGATCGACCGCGAAATCCAGACCGACCATGAAACTGCGGGAGGCCAAAGACAAGAAGTGATTCTCTCAGCTTCTAAATTTCAAACTGTCCACAGGCCCTAGTCAAAACCCCCAAGGTAGCTGCTTTATGCAGCATTCAACAGCTGTCCCATGCCAGTTATCATCTTCGATTCGGGGTATATCACACTATACTTATAGTGAGGAACGCCGCCTTTCCCCGGGCCGCAAAGAGCTTGGCGACGGCGGGAAGGAGCGGGTCATCCTCGGCTCGTGCTCAAATCTGCTGCGGGGGCCGAGGAGATTCTAATAGTGGACCCAGGGTACCGGGGACCTACACGGGACGACTGCCCACTCTTTGCAGGCAGTCCTGGGGGCAGCCGTCCCGGTCTTTCAGAAAAATTCTGCAAGATGGAAGATACAATCTTAATCTTCGCTGCAATGCGGGGGTGTCTGATAACCTCACCCTTTCGGCACACATCCGCACATGTGAGGGTCCGTGCGGATCAAAGTCTAGATGTGCAAACCAAGTCTTGAAGTTAGGACATCATGCCCAGCCGCATGGCCCTGCAGGTAGTTCAACTCGCAGAGTTTCACACGCAGGCTGTTCAGAAGGACGGGGTCCACCTGGAGTCATGTAATTCGGATGCTGAAAGCCAACCGGTGTCAAGACACATTAGCCAGACGGTGTACAGACACATTCAGTCCAGAAACATGACATGGATCATCTTGCCGTGGCTGATCGGATCATGAGAATTGATTGAACTTCAAACCGCCTGAGACATTTTCAAGATAGAGCATCGAGTGCTGCCGGCTGTAGCAGCACTTACATTCAGGGCAGCACGTTTCGGCCAAGGTCGCAACTTGGCTGTCTGTTGATTCCCTGCTGCCACACGCGACATGCACGGAGTGCCACCTGGCCGGCACCGAACTCTTCGGGGCCCAGGTCCTCGATGGAGCTCCAGCCCTCTGCTTGCCTTGGACACGATGTGGGAATGCAACTCCAACGAAGTAGGGATAGATCTCCTAAACAGCACCTAATGTTGAAGATGATACAAGCCCTACTTCATATCTCCTACACGAAAGTTGCGCACAGCTGCTCCTTAACGAGGAAGCATGCAGATCGAGCCGAGCTAACCCATTGTCGATTACCCATGGCAGGACAAGTTCCCGCCAGGCCACAGAACGATCTTCTTCGTGGGGCGTCTCTCCGCTGGCTCATCTGTCCGAAATCGTTCCACCTGCCCGAAGTTGCGAAAAAAAGCGTGCCTTTGCACATCACTGGCCCCGTGAGTCCCAGACCCAAGCCTCAGCCACGGCTTCGAATGCCCGGGCCACGCCCGGCTCCGTGGCCAAAGGCAGCAAAGCTAAGGTGGCAACGCCCTGTGCCTTCAGCCGTTCCTTGGATGAAGGCTGAAGGTCTGGAGTCCTAGATTCTGGAGACCACGCCGAATAGCAGATGGACCGAAAAAAGTTTTGCCTCTCGCTTCGAGACATGTGGCCTAGAAGTCTAGGGTGCCCATTCGAAAGTCCTTCCGTCCTTGATTTGCGGATTCAAGCCGAAGGATCGAAACGGTCCTAGGAAAGCTGAACAACCACCGGAGCTACACAGAATGCTATGACACCCGGAGGCGACATTCTGCCCAGCGTCCAGCAAGAACAGAAAGTCAGTGTCCGGGGCCGCAACTGCGATGGCGTCCACTTTGTCCTTTGGGTCAAACGCAGGTTGCGGAAGCTCTCAGTCGGGGACCTAGTGTAAACAGGCGGAGTCAGTGGCTGAATTGAGAGAAGTTTGAATTTTTGCAGAGCCCGTAGACCCAGAGCGTCTCAGGCTTTCCATGGCCTTTCAGCGCTACCCAGAAGAAGCCCTTATGAGACCCCCGAAAACGCGAAGGACACTGTTGACCTCCGGCGTGGCCTCCTGAAAGGCCAGCCTCGCAGCTTCGAAAGCCACGGCGATGTCGTTCGGATCCTTTCGGACTTTCAAAGAGGGTTGAGGAGTCAGAGTGCCGGTTTCAGGGTTTAGGGTTCGGTGTTTGGGATTTAGGATGATTTAGATCTTAGGATCTGGGGCTCGAGGTTTAGAATAGACCCTAGATCGGCTCGAACATCCCGCAAGCTAGGTGCGAAACCCCGAAATGCCCCCTCGCCCCGCCTTCCCGCCTTTCCCCCGCGGCACCGCGACGAAGCTCAGCTCACTCGGGGAGGCGCGGCGCGGCTGGGCAGCCTGGATTGCAAAACTGCTCATAAACCTCGAATCAACAGGAAATGCCCAAGTGATTCTGGCAATGGCAATAGTCATGATAATGCTGGTCAGGACGGACACACAGACAGCGGCGGCAGCAGCAGCAGCAACCGCGAGCACTGCAATCACCACCTCCACCACCATCATCACCACCGCCACCACGAGTGTCAGTGTCTGTGATGACCATGATCCGCACGACTATCATCATTTGCATCATTATAACCATCAGCTGATACAGTGCTGACACATCATGCCCACTGAGCCAACTAGCCCCAAGATCATCACCGCGATATGAGCCAAAGCAAGAAGATCGACATGTGACCCTGTACATTCTCGGAATGCCATTGCATGCCGTCACCTGGTGCACCACGGATTCCCCATCAGCCCTCACCGACACTTAAGCCTTGAGCTACCCTCCAGCAACTGTGCATGGAGATACTGTAGGCAGCAGTGTCCAGAAGATGCTCCCGCCATGCCACACGAAACACGTCAGAATTCGGAGTCAGGAAACCGTGGAGAGTTGCAGGCTGCATCTACCAATGCGGAACTGCTTAGAGCAAAAACCCTCAAAAAAAGCCTCCCACAAGCCTCTTCTCTCCTGAGCAAGTCTGGTCTGGGGAAAGTGCAGTGCAGACCACACCGGAGGCCAGGTGTCCGCGGCGGCGGACGGCGGCCAGGAGTTCCGGGAAGTGGCGAGGGCCAAAGACGTCGCCTTTGCAAGAAAAAAGGCTTTACTTGCCATAGTAGGTGCATCACGACAACCCAAGAAATGATTCACTGAAAAGTCAGATTCTGGTTCTGCTTAAGGTGCAGAAGATCTGAATACCCACTAGGATTTGGAGTTGAGGTAGACGTGCTCGTCACTTCCGAGGCTTCGACCGTCGATCACCACGCCGTATCGACGTGGCGCAGGTGGCCTCCCAAACGAGGTCGGGTGTAAGGCGGCTTGGGGAACAAAGCCGTACCAGGGGGATCACGGGACAACGCGCTCATCGAATCCTTAGACAGCCTCCTTTACAGGACTCTGAAAAGGAACGCCCGACTTCCCGGCCCAATAAATCGGCCTTCCCTGCACTGGAGCATCTGACGAGCTGGCAATCCAACGGACCTGCTGATACCACAACTTGAAGAAAGCTGTCAGATGCGTAAGTTGGTGCCGTTGGGTTGTTCGGTTCTGAATCATGTGCTTGGGGCTGACGCCTTAGTAGGACCGTATGAAGCGCTGGACCCACAAGGGCCAGACTCCTGCACTGCTACGTCTCGGATAGGAGGCGCAAGAGAGGGCACTTCAGGATGGGAGGATTAAATCAATCAAGCTTAGTATTTCTGAACCCCCAACTCAGCTTTAACAAACCTGTCAGCCCTGTAGCAACAGATTCAGTTCGGGCCTGAACTGCCAGCTGCCGCAGGCGGCGCATGACGTACGGTGGCAGCCAGGTTCAAGGCGCCGGTCATGCTTTAAGGGTGAGGGCTGCTCCATCGAATCTGAGGCTGGAATAAGTTGAAAGGCCGAAGGCATGCAGCCTTGGGCTCCTTGAATCAATGTCCCTTTGGTGATTAACCCTTGAGGTTTAGCAAACTGGAGGATTCTGCTAAGCTGGAGGCATCCGATGCAAACAGCTGCCATCGAAGGTCTTCCTACTTCCCCCCCCCCCAGCATATCAGCAGCCTGCTGGCATGGCACTAACACCTCTTGGCCATGCCGGGTCCTGGTCAAAACTGGTCAAAAGTTTAAGAGGCTCGGCCAAGGCAACCACATACGTTCGGCGATGCCCGCGGATCTCCGCCACATCGTGCCTCATTGAGAACCACGGGAGACTTCGTCTACGCACTCTGGCCGATGCCTCTAGAGTCCCAAAAATCGATAGCTCGAGTTCACTCTAAGGGCTGCGCATTCCGCCAACTGAAAATCGATAGAACCTCGGTCTGCATCCACGTCTCTCATGCCTGAGGTTTTCATGAGCCCTTGAAGTGAAGCTGTAAAGCACGAGAAAGTAGTGGCAGGCCATCCCGAGGTCAAGCCGGGCCATTGGCTTCTGAGCGGAGACTGTCGAGTCCTTCTTACGATCTTGGATCACCGTATTCGTCGGACCGGTAAGGCTGTACAGGAGCCAGAGCACCAGGAAACATGCAGGCACACGGAGGCCGATGATGAGCACGATGCGAAACAAGCAAAGAAGCAGACGATCTCCCGTCGCAAGTCCAACTGCAAACCGCTTCCGCACCTGCATGTCACCGAATGCCGCATGCCATATTTCAGCACGCAGCCGCCCAAGCGAACATTGCGCTCGGGCATGGTGTCCAGACTTCGGCTAACAGCTCGCCTGCATTCGGCAAGCTTTCCTGGGGCTGGATTCTCATTTTGGCTCCGCTGGCAACAGGGCCCGGAAGCCCGCGGACAGCGGTCTTCGTGCCAAGGAGACATCCTGTTTCACCTGCTTGGGCGTCACAGTTCTTGATAGCAAGATCTCCACTATGATGGGGAACATGACCGGCCTATCGTTGTGAGAAAAGCATTGTCATGAGAGCACGAGTGACTTTTCACCGATTAGTGTGATATCATTGCTAATGTCATAACTGTGGTGGTGGCAATACTAACAGGGCTGCCAGTGGCAATTAGAGTAAGTAGTAGTAGTAGTAGTAGTAGTAGTAGTAGTAGTAGTAGTAGTAGTAGTAGTAGCAGCAGCAGCAGTAGTAGTAGTAGTGGGAGCAGTAGTAATAGGAGCAGGAGTAGCAGTAGCAGGAGCAGTGGTAGCAGCAGCAGCAGTAGCTGTAGCAGTGGCAGGAGGAGCAGGAGGAGGAGGAGGCTACAACAGCCGCAGCAGCAGCAGCAGTAGAAAAAGCACAATGAACACGACTGCTTGCAGCTACAATTGGTGATGACCATGACGACACCGGTGATTGCGCAAGGACGGTCGCGGTACCCGTGGCAACGCTGCATTTCTCAGGTGCGAAGGAAGTATGACAAGACGAAAGAGCAAATGGCGGTGATCGGCCCGGATGCCTCCTTGGGCCACGTCTTCGCAGCTTCCTCGGCCAGGCGCCAGGTCTCGTCGTCCAGATTGCCATGCTCCTGGGAAATAAACCCTGACGGACTTAGGAGTTGTGGGTTGAAGGTTTAGGATTCAGGGAGCTCAGATTTCAAGTTTAAGAGTTCAGGGATCAAAGCTTAGGTGAAATGCGTCAAGCACACTCTCCTGCAACTCGAACTTCCTTCAAACTCTGAAGCCTTCAACTTCGACTCAGCCCAACTGGTGTTAAACGTGGACTGGCGCATGTTGGCTTTGGATAACATGTGCAATCTATTGTCAAGCAAAAACCGTGAAATTATGTTTAGAATCATACGTACATGATACCTGGGTTGCGAACCCGGCGTGAAATAAAACACCAGCTGTTCACGTGTTGTCATGCTATGCACAGGACAACGCCGGTTGCTGTTCATGTGCTGGTCGCGGCTCGTCTGAAACCCGTGTTTCAGGCTGCTCTGTGTTTGTGCGCGCGTGCTTACCCAGATGGCTTCAAAGACTTTCAGCTCAGTTTTGGGGGTCTACCTCCGCCACGATGGCCAGGAGAACGAAGCCAGCAGCGACCACCTCTCGGTGAGCCTCCGTGCTGAATTCTTGCTTGCAAGATCTTCAGCTTACATTGACCTTCAGCTTCAGGATGTAACATTTCAGACAAGGTGTATTCGGCTTCTCGCTCAGGATTTGGGAACCTTTCAATTACATGGTGAGAATTAGGCTGCAGGCCATGATTTCCTGTGCAAAAACATGCGCAAAGACGGCAAACAGGGAATGACATCACCAAGAAAGAGCAGACCCGACCATCCCACCGGATACGACACTGGCCTCCATGCGCTTCAGCAGCTCCTCGAGTAGGGTTCGGGCAGCAATGATTTTGGTCACAGGATTTGGGAACATCTCTCGCCGGTGATTCTGATGCAGCACACTTTGCCTCCCTCCCGCCTTCGTGCCCTCAACCATACACTTTGACCTTCTCTCTTTGAGCAGCTGAGCCAGGCACCACTGAGATGTTGACAGCATCCGCCTCCATCACTCGCCGCAGATGGAGACCTGGGCTTCTTCAACGTGAATATCTTGGGACATTGCTCACTTGCAAAGTCTGTGTAGCACCCACACACGCACACATACATACATATACATACATATATATATATACATACATACACAGACATATATATATATATATATATGGTCGTTGATCTAAATTAATATATCCCCGAATGATCTTCTTCACGAAAATATAATTTTCTTTAGCGTAACTTTCGCGCGCCCTTTCGCGGACACATATTCAAGTATATGTTGATACTAATATACCAGAGTTCTATGAGGGATTTTTACAAGCCCTATAATATAACCCGCCAATCCAGTTCCGGAAACCTAGAAATTAGCCCTCAACGCCTGGACAAAAACTGGTAACAACTACGTCCATGCTCCCCGGTGTGGTACAGTGCTAGTGCTACTGTGAATGCTAGTGCTCGTCGTGGTATGCGCCAGTAGTAGCCGTAGAAACAACAATGGCGCGTTGCCTTGATATGGCAACCTCGACTTTCACGCGACTTGCACGGAACTTTAGCGGATCTTTCGCGCTACACGCACTAGCCACGCCACATTTTGGCATCTGCCTGGAGCCTGCTGCGTAGTTCGTTTGACATGTCGTGCTAAAGCGTAGTAATTAGTAGAAGTAGTAGTCGTCGTCGTAGTCGTCGCCGTAGTAGGAGCAGCAGCAGCAGCGGTAGTAGTAGTAGTAGTAGTAGTAGTAGTAGCAGCAGCAGAAGTAGGAGTAGCAGTAACAGTAGCAATAGCAGGAGCAGTGCCAGTACTAGTACAAATACAAGTATACACAAGAGTGCAGTTACTAGTACTGGTACTAGCAGTAGGAGTAGTAGTAGTAGTAGTAGTAGTAGTAGTAGTAGTAGCAGCAGTAGTAGTAGTAAGAGTCGGGAGTGTACTAACGCAATAACTTTAGCAAACGGACCCATCGCGCAACTTTCTGGCATGTCATGTTATGCCCGTGATCGTTTTGTATAAATACAGCCACAAGGACCTTTAGATCAATGCCCAACATACACGGTCAGATAAATAAATAGACAGGTAGGTAGGTAGGTAGGGAGATAGAATAGATAGATCAAGTGATATATCCATTGATGGATAAACTGATAGGTGGATAGCTGGGTAGATAGATGGGTAGATGGGTAGATGGGCAGATGAACACATGGCCAGATAAATAAATGCATAAATGGCATAAACATACATATGCATGCATGTATGTGTATATATATAATACACATACAACATATTGCGATCCTGGCAATACGAACAACAATCAAAAAGCAGAAGCCATGGCAATAACACAAGTAATATAAAAGTAGAACGGATGTCGGCAGGGGCTGAAGCGGGGCAGCCTGGGCTCCTCGCGCGGGCCCGCACTCAGCGCGATGAGGGCGCGGAGGCCCTCAGCGAATGCGGCCGCAGATGGCAGTGCCTGGATCTGCGCCTTGCAGCAAGTCCGAGAGAAAACAACAGAAACCGTTTTTTTTTGCGCATAAACAAATGGACACACGTGTGTGTTCCGGTATGTGCACACGCTTGTACACATGTATGTGTATGCATAGCTGTTTAAATCATATGTATATACATATGTATGTGTGTATACATGTGTATACATGTGTATACATATATAGTGCGTTTACCTATTTTCTTGTGTATATATATATATGTGTATATACATATACATGTCAGCATACATGTGCAAGCCTGTGTATATAGATGCGCATACAAACATACAACATGTATTGATTCATTTATCTGTTAAAGTCTGTGTATAGATCCTGGCGGGGCTCATGTCATGGCTGTTGTACAGCAGTCTGTTAAAAATGTCTATCCGAATCTACGCCGCCACACTGCACACAGGATCCTACTATATACCGGACATCGCCAAGACCTCGACAGCAGAACGCAGCAACTAACGCAGAAAAACGCAGCCCCTGGAATCCGAAAGAGGGACCCCAAGGCCGAACCCTCATGACGTTCCAGGGAGAGAGATGTCTTGAAATCCCTAAGTCGACACCCTGCAAACCCTAAACCGAGACTCCAGGTTTAGGGTTTACTTGGAGGTTCATGGGTAGTTCAAAGTGGGGTTATCAGTGGGGTAGCTATACTTATAACCCATATTAAGGGACTTGTAACCCTACTTATAACTACCCATGAACCTCCAAGTAGGTCTTAGAGTTTACGCGCGAACGCTTCCCACCTGAAGCAGCGCCACCACGGCGTTGGCTGCGCGCAGCTGCGCCAAGTGCCGGAGCGACTCGGGGGAGTTGAGCCTCTGGCTGGTTAAGGGTTTAGGCTTTAGGGTCTAGGGTTTAGGGCTTAGGGTATAGGGTTCAGGCTTTAGGGTATAGGGTTTAGGCTTTAGGGTATAGGGTATAGGCTTCAGGGTATAGGGTTTAAGATTTCGTATCTTTCTCAGATATCAGCATTCTTTGTGATTGCTGCTACTTCTTGCTATGATTGAGATTACTAAGTTTATGACTATTATGATGATGAATACGACTATGTTAATTGTTATGATTGTTGTCAATTGTCATGGTAACCAAGACGTCAGTATGACTGATTGCAATACTTTTCCTCACTTAAGATGTTTGGCACCATACGATAAATGACAGACTACTACAATATGCACAAGAAGGGTTATTACAAAGGCTACTAGAGTATCTTCCTAGTGTTTGGGGTTCCAGGCTGTCGTCTTTCGTAGTTCACGGTTTAAGGTTTCGGCTTTAACTTAGGCTCGTTTTAGGGTAGCTTCGGCTTAGGCTCAAGGCTGGAGGGTTCCAGGGTTCAGGGTTGTATGGTTCAGGGTTTATAGGGGCTGTTATGAATTCTGGGGACTGGGAAGGTGAAGTGCAAAAGCTTCGTTCAGTGACAAATTGAAAGTTCTCTGTCTCTCTTCCACCAAAAAACGGGATGCCTATCACTTTTGTGTCGAACGGGCGAACATGCAGGTTTTTTGTCGAGATGAGCGATAGGAACGGAAACGACTGCATCCAGGTGGCGCCAAACTCTGCAGAGCGCAGAAAGCAGCCACTTTCATGTCTGCTTTTCGAGGATATGATGCCTGCATAGGGCATGAGTACACAGGGAAAGACAGCACACAACACTTTCTGCTGATTGACACACATTGCTGTAGAACACACGCCAAGACGTGCAGGGATGTGAGGGCCTTCATCAGCTCCATCAGGCCGACGAGCACTTGGCCCAAGCGTCGCCGCGTGTTGCCATAGGCGCTGTACCTGCTCTCATAGCAAACACCCGCCTGAAGACATCGCTTCCGAATCGTCTGAAGAGATTGAAGACATTGCGTGATGCCAAAGAGCCCACAGCTGTCCTCAAGCCACCAGGCAGCCTCGGAGCCGGGCAGTCCACAGACCACAGGCAGGCAAGCCATGGCTCAAGCCGCAAGCTGAAAGCTCAGAGCTTAGCCGTCTTCCGAAGCCCAAGGCGATGTGCCTGACGCGTAGCAACACCCCATCTCGCACTTAGAACGCCCACCTTTACCCAGAACGATCTCCCCCCTTTCCCGGCACCTCTTTGGCATCCTCTGGAACGACGAGGAGCAGGCGCAAGACCCGGAGGCCCTCCACCAGCATCCAGGGCTGCTCCTGTGCTCCCAAAAGAGCCGCTGGAACGCACTTAAAGCTCCGTGGGCAGTTGTAAAGGGGGGGTAGCAGTAGGGGAACTATAGTTTTAACCCATATTAGGGTACTTATAACCTTACTTATAACATCTTACTACTACCCATGAACCTCCAAGTACAGGCCCGCCTGGGCACAACACCACCGCACGTTCCAAAGCTCAAAAGCTGATGCCGCTCATGCAGGCCAAACCGGGACAAGCAGTTTTACAACGGTTGACGAGATCCTCCTTTGGAAAGCTGTGCAGCCGTAGCTGGAGCAGGTCCATCACGGCTGAGGTCAGCACCTTCGCTTTGGCATGTCTCCGTGTGTGTGTGGACGGGGGTTGGGCAGTGCAAGCCTTATGACAGTGTAACATACTAGTATGAGTAGAAGTAGTGGCAGCAGTAGCAGTAGCAGCAGTCGTCGTGTAGCAGCAGCAGCAGCAGCAGTAGTAGTAGTAGTAGCAGTAGTAGTAGCTGTTGTAGAAATAGTAGTCGTAGTCGTAGTAGTAGTAGCAGCAGCAGCAGGAGTTATACGGCGGCGCTGACGGGCTAGGAATGCCCTGAATCGTTCCCCACAGCCCTGCCTCGCATCGAAAGGCCTGGGCGAGCTGTGAGCCGCTGGAGTGGGTCTGCAGCACGGCATCCCCTGCAGACCACGCTTGTGTTGAGGGCTTCAAGCATTCGGAGTCTTGCGGAGTTTGTTGGCAGGCTGTCGGTCTCAGGCTCAAGGCCCTTATGAGTATCGTTGAGCATCTCTGCGCAACTTTGCGTTCATTGTCCGGGCTTGTGACTCAGGCGTCGCGCATCATGAGTGAAGTGTGCGGGGTCGCAGCAATCTTGAAGGAAGGTTGCGCGAGATGGCACATACGGGCAGTGGGCCCCCCTGAGTGCCGATCTTCATGTGAAGCGCTGAAGAAAAAACGACAAAAGCCACCAAAGGAGTGTCCCGCACAGGCACCTGTTGGGTCTCCCGCCAGCGTCCCGAGTACTCGCACCTTGCCAGATGACTCATGACCACAGCGTTGCAATGCTTTTAAATCTCAAAGTGTATTCCGATACGTACTGATGCAGTGGGGCTGCTGTTCAGGCCTTTACACGTCCTATACATTTTCATCTCGGCCTCGTCTGTTTTCTGGCTCTGTGGACATGCTCGGGGCCAGAGGGGGCTCCTGCTAACCATCAAAACCCTTAACGCCGAACCCCAAAACCCTGACCTCAAAAATCCTCAAACCCAAAACATCAAACCTCCTATAAACTCACTACATCGCGCAACGTTCCACGAACACAAAAATTACACCTCGGAGAGTCAAAGCGGCGATGCATCGCAGCGCCGAAAGTTCCGGAAGCGGCTCGCCAGCCCGCAGCGAGGCCACGAGAGGCACCAGGCCGGCCCTGGGCTGGGCATGTGCAACATATACATATACATACACATGTGTGTGTGTGTGCATTTCTATAGGTATGCAGTATGCATGTATGTAATTTATGTATGTATGTATGTATGTCTCTTTCTGTATATGCATGTGTGTGCAATCGCTTTTGCATGCCTTAGCCCTCTAGAAAAACGCTGTGCACTTCCTTTACATATCTTATCACAGTGGCTTTACCATCATTCTAGACTATTCCTGAGTGCCATCGCCGCCAAGCGCTGTATCGGCGGCGAGGGAGGAGGGGAGTCAATACAACATGACTCGCAAGCATTGCTTGCAAAGTCCGGCCCTTCCCTTTGCCGACGTGCCACCTGCCATGCTCATCGAACGCAAGGCGTTGTGCCAAATCCGCCTGGGCAGAAAAACTTGCGGCTCGCAGATTTTGTCACAGCTTGGGCATGCAAACACTGTCAGGCTCAATAGCTCTACAGATCCTTCGAAGTACGCCATAAGGGGCTGATGATTGAATGGGGAAGGGGATGATGGTGGTGATGATGATGATGAAGATGATGAAGCCTTCATGTGAGGTAGATCTGTTACTTGCAAGTAGCATCTCAAAACCACACCCGGCACTACACACTCATTGATGTGAAATGCCTAAGGAGCCTGCACACCCGTCCATCGAACTTCATCTGCTTCCGTGCGAACTTGCAAAACCCGGCTCTAAGCTGCAGCCACAGGGCGGTAGCCGACTTACTCTCCTTGTGCTGACACACATCACTTCAACACAGGTTTTACATGACCTATACTCAGACCTCTAGATCGTCAACGGGCTTCTGTCTACACGTTCGCTTATACTACGTCTAGTTACAGGTCAAAAACCCGCCTTGGGCTCTTCGAAGGAGACCAAGGCTTTCAACTCCTGCCATGGGGGCTCTTGAGGCTTCTGAGGATTCGGGGATGATCAGATGCGAAGCTGTCGCCTCCAGGCTTTAGGGTTTCGGGTAGTTGAGGGCGTTAAGGCTTTGAATTTCAGGGTTTAAGGTTTTTTGGGGGATGCACTTGGAGGTCCATCCTCCGTAGCATCCAGGAGGGCCAACTCATCCAGCCCATCGCTCGCTGGATCCATGGCCGAGCACCAGGACAGGGCGTGGATTTTGGAGATGAGCTGGGCTACATTTTGCGATCACGAAGCTTTTGTTTGCAGGAGTTCCTCTGCGTGTGGATCGTGAGTTCGGAGACTGAGCTTCATGCCCCACATCCTTTCTGCGATTCTTCGCCAGGCTGTCACAGCTATCCACAAACTGTCTGCCCCAAACTGCGGCCACAGAAACTCTCAGAGCACCAGCGAGAGGCTCAGCAGCAGAAGTCACCAAGCAATACCTTCGAGGCCGCCGCTTGCGCCCCAAAGCCCTCGCAACGCTTTTGCCCACCGAGGTCTTGCCCACCCCCGGCGGGCCGACCAGACCTGGCTCGGAGCAGCACGAGATTTTTGCGAGCTGCCGGGCCTTTCTTGAAGGACGCGCAAGGGAAAAATGAATACAACTTACACCACCCCTGCTGCTACCAGCACCAGGCTGACGGCTGCTTGCCAACCGCTACGTCCTGCACTGGAAACCACTCCCACGTACTCGGGACGGCTTCTGATTCTCCTCTGCTTCATGTTACAGCCGGCTCAATGCTTTTTACATGTTGACATATTGACAGACCAGACATGCCGCGGCTCAGCCCCAGAACTGCGGACTTGGCCGCTGGCACATGATCTTGCCTTGGGTCGAGTCCTGTGGGGAACGCATGGGGATATTTCTGAAAGCACGCAGAAACCTGTACAGGCAAGCCAGGCTTGGATTCAGATGAGCACCACATATTCAGTTTGAGCTCCACAGGACACGGTGTCGACTAAGTCTCTGATCATGCCTTGGCCGGCCGGGACGTAGGCCCTTTAGAACAAGGGTCCTTCAGGAAGCTCACGGCGATGTGCTCCAGAATCCGCTCCTTCACATCCTCCAAGCCATAGTGGTCCTGTCCGTCAGACTCAGAGAAGGCTTACATCTTCCGAACGCTAGTCTTGGAATGTTCACCAGACCCGGCAGCCTGAAAATGCAGATGCTCGCGCGAGAGGAAACCGCTTAGTTCTTACAAGGTGTCTGCAACTTGTCTGCACGGTGCCTCATCCAGGACTGTTTCGGCATGTTTGATGTCACGGTTTTCGGTAGTGATTACACCTCGGCTGAGGTGCGATTGAGCGAACTCTGGACGAGATGGGGGTCACCCCCACGACCAATAGCTGAGGCTTGCACCCCACGGAAGGCAAGTTAGCCACTCCAAGTAGGTGCGGCCTTCGGTCCAAAAGCAGAATGTGATGAATCCAAACTTGCCGTCGCAGCATCCAGCTTCAACACATCAATCAAAAAGCCTCTGGTGATTTTCAGCTATTACTTCAAAGACCACCTAAGGGTCACTCATCCCCAGCAGAAGTGACCGGTCGTCGTGCAGTCGTGCTCTGTATCTTCCCTTCACAGTGCAAGGAGACACTTATGCGTACCTGAAAACATGTGGTAGTCATGACAATGCCCAACATTTATGCTAGAAAACATATCCAGCCAGCCGGACACGAATGCTTCTAGTTAAGTCTAGCTGGCACAGAAATGGTCAGTTTGGATACTGGCAGACATGCTACCCGAATGACAGCAAAGACCAGCTGGGGCGCAGGCAGACATTGAACTCCGAAGACGAGGGTTCCAAAGAATTCAGCTTCGCCAGCTCTGCGTCGATGACCTACGGCTGGATTTTGGAACTCTTCATCCCTGCGCTCTCTGCATGTCCTGGCCTTCTGCACGTCTTCTGGCACCTCCTCGCGTTCATGGCCAAAGCACAAGCCGCTTACGATCCGAAAACCCGATCCGCCCCTTTCTCCTTGGATTGGATGGCATCCCGGAACTGATTGGTCAGCGTCTGCTTCTCATCCTGCTGTGGGAAGGCGTGAGGAGAAGGCCTCCTCAAGACCGTTACAGTCCTTCTCGATGCCCAGCTCCTTCTGGATCTGACGCATCTGCTCCTCAATGTCAGGTACTTGACCGTCTCCCAGTCGCAGCTCGAAACCGGAGCACTGCAAGACTCCGAAGATGCGACGACTTCGTTCTGAGGCGTCCGACCCAGAGGATCTTTGTCTTCTGCTCCTTGGCCACCTTCTCCTCCACTTTGCCTCCGACGACACTCATGACATGAAATCTCTGCACCCGAAATCCTTGCATCAAGTCAGCTCCTTGCAAGGTTCAGCCACCCGACCCAAGCCTAGCTGTGAAAAACCCTCTGTAAATACCCCAAGGCTCCGTAACCCCGGATCCCTTGAAAAGCAGAAACCCCTGCTTTCCTTACACGGTTTTCTGGGGCATTGGCTCTTGACCTCCGACTGGAGCTTCGCAGTGCTGAGGTCGGCTTCTAAGACGCTGCGCACCTTTGCCACTTTTGATCTCATACTCTTAGAGAATCTCGCAGAGTCCGCTGCTCTTAGCTGTTTTGGCGAAGGTGTGGTGTAGCAGCAGTGGCTATGGTGGGTCGTGATGGCAGAGCCTGGCTGGCTAGGTGACTGGGGTAAGCTATTCTCGTGACTTTAACGAACTGCAGCTGAAGGGTGTCCAAAAGGAGGTGGCTGCCTTCACGTTGCGTTCGTGGGGAGGTGCCAAATAGTGGCTCTGCTAGTAGAACATTCTATGTAATGCTTCGTGGGGAGTTTCGCATCACTAGGTCTAGCTTACCCTGCCGGGTGCGAATGATAAATAGAAAATATCGCAGCAGTAGCTTTTCTAAGTTCGGGATGAAGTCAAGCCTTCTCCATCTTGATCTTTGCGTCTTGCTCCTCAAGGACATCCTGCCATCGGGATGGCGGACACGGCGGAAGATTTGTGTTCCCAAATCCTGGCATGAGCTACTTCTGTCACGAACATTGGGAAGGCCTGCAAAGCTTTCCGGTCTCCCGAAGAGATCCCAGCCTGAATGGTGCACAACCTACTAACTGCAGGACGAACTCCCAAAAAACCGAATTCCTGCACACTGGGGTGCAGACCGCGAGGTCAGCAACTTGCACCTGGCCGGACGACAGTTGCCACAGGAATTCAAGCCGGCATCAGCTTGCCAGGGAGACCGGATCTTCCATGTCGAAGTGCTGCACCACCTCACAGCTAGCAGAGACTGCGGTCGCTATGACACTGCAATACGAGTTCCAACTGCAGCTCAACAGAATCTGAATGCGTCCCCGGGCTGCCTGGTCGTGCTGCTCCCGGTGCAAAGGCGAAGCTGTCAAGAGCTTCTTCATCTGCGCGATCTGCCATGAGCTGTTGTACTTCACAAGGGTGGAGGAACGGCATCCAGAGTTGCTCCCCAGACCGTTGGCCCGGTCTGCGGCTCGGGTGGAACTGCATGAAGGGCCGAACATGTAACTCGCAAAACTGCATTGAAACCAACCTGGAAGCAATCTGCTTTCAGGAAAGGTGTCTCGAGGGCAATTCCATGCAGCGGAAGTTTGTTTTGGTCTGTCGAGGTGTCGGCGCTGCTCCAGGCCGTGGCACTCAGACCGCCACCACCGCGAAACCCAGAACACCGAGGGCCAGCGAGATCACCTCGATGCAGGTACACTGCCCGACGCCAGGCACGACAAAAAGTGAAGCTCGGTCTGTTTCCATGAAGAAAGTTTATAGACAAAGACGGCTCCCCGAGGGATTCTGGGACACGGAATCCGACTGCAGCAGAGGGTCTGCCCTGCCACTGGAGCTCCTCTCCTGCGAAAAGAAGGAAGATGCTGCAGGACAGCAAGAACTGCATGCCATGACTGCTTCCATGCAGTTCTTTCCCAGGCCTCTTCCTTCTTTGCCTCTTCGGTGGTGGTGGTCTGCCAGCAGGGAGTGAGATGCAATAAGACTCACGCGTCAACTCAACCTTGAAACACAGCTGGGGTGATGAGGAACACACGTTAACGCCCGCTCGACTATGAGAAGAGCCAGCAAGCTTCTGCAACACATGATCGCATGTTTAGCCCGACCCGCTCTAGGCACGGATAGGCCTTGACATCGCTCACGACCACTTCCTGTAAACTGCTTGAAGCATATCTCGGGAGCGACATCCAGCTGACATTCAGGGCACATGGGAGTGGAACGAAGGTCGCGGAAGGCAGTGGAAGCTGTACCTAATCGAATCAAGTCCAAGCCTTTAGTTTCATATCAGCATCACCTTCGAGGCCTCCGGTTCTCCCTGTGTACCCTCGAAACCACCACAAGCTTCACAAAAGAGCTGAATCCTTGGTGTGGACGTCGACGGACACCTCCTTACTACACAGGCTAAGTGGATTGAAGCACATTGAGCAGGCTCAGTAAGTAGCATACAGGCATGAAGCAAGCAGTCACATCGCGGGCAGCCCCCAACTCTGAAAACTTTCTGATGTGCTGCCACTGAGTCTGGCTTGTTTGGTTCCGTGGCCGTCGAGCCCTGCACCAGCACCAGTGTCTTAAGAGCTGTGGCCGCGCAATCTTTAACCGATCCACTACTCGCACCGTGCTGCTTCGTAATGCGCACATAGAGAGGGGTTGAGGGGCGGGACGAATCAATGCAAGCCTTGGTCTCATTCACCACCACGGTGACCTGAAACAGGAAGTCGCGAAGTCCACTAGTTTAAAGGACTCCTCGCAACACTCGTTAGCGGAAGTAATCGTACTGATGCGAGATGCGAGTATGCCAACAGCTGCAAGCCCCTGCAAAAATGAGATTTGTGTGATGACGATGGACCTCTGCAGCGGAGATCGTAAAACTATAGCCGCGGGTGTTAGCATTGGCAATAAGAATACCTCTGGAGCTGAGAACGACAAACCCTAACAAGACTGCTAATGCTTCAGTAGTCGGTAATAAAGAGGACAGCGGTCGCAGCGGTAACACAAGTACTAGTAGAAGCACGGCTGGCAACGAAGCACGCAAGCAACCGGAGAGCCAAAGCAGAGGCTCTTTGCGCCTGTGCAAATCAACGGTCGCAGATACTCTTCCTCCGACAGAGCAGCATCAGCAGCACCATCATCGACATCATGAACAACCAGAGGAACAAACGAAACAAGCAGCAGCTTCCTCTGTCACCACCTCATCAGCCTCGTCCTCATCGTCATCGTAATCGTCATCATACTCATCATCATGCCAAATCCCCAAAACAAAAAAAGAAGAACAATATGATAAATATGATCGTCACACGGTCTAGAAAATTCAGGAGAGCGACATCAACCTTCTCGTCGTCTGGAAGAGCGCCCTTGTTGTGCACGGTTACTTCCTTGGACGGACATGCGGTAAGGACCATTCGAGCTGGGGATCGACTTATGCAGCAAAGGAAGCAACTCCTACCAGGCAGGGGCAAGTCGACTGCAGTGCCTTACATCTCAGGTCCTACGCGACAGTATGCTTTCTTGCATGAGGCACAGAGTCGAGCTCGCCTGGACTCTTTCAGAGACGGCGGCAAATGGCTTGGACCAATCCGCGGGCAAAGCCAAGCACCATGTCCCTAAAAGTCAAAAAAAACTCAAACGATAGTCCTGCAGCCGTGGGTCAGGTCCGGTCGCTTTCTCTTCCTTCTTCGGCTCCTCGGGCACGATCTTGGTCTGCCAGCCGGGCACAGCAAAATGGGAGGCCGCCACTCCTAAATCGGATTCGACCATGATACCTTTCAGAGTTCACCCACTTGTTCGCAGGTTCTCTCAAAGATGTTGAATTCAGAGGTCGAGTGGTAACCGCATGTTCACTCTTGAAGAATGCCTCCGGACGATCCCTCTGTGATCTGCCCTGGCCAAGGCGCCACAACATATAACACGACACTGTAGAGTAACACACCATGCCAAAGAGCCCCTTCTGTACGACAGCTGACTATGACCTCGGTATTGGCAGAGCCCGCCTTGCCCTGGTCATGGGGGTCGTGGATCTCCTTGGGAGCACTAGCACCAGTAGAAAGAGAAGTGGCAGTGGCGGTGGCAGTAGCAGTCGCAGCGGCAGTCGCAGTAGCAGTAACGGTAGCAGTAGCAGCAGTAGCAGCAGTAGCAGCAGTAGCAGTAGCAGCAGTGGCAATAGCAGCAGCAGCAGCAGGAGCAAAAGCAGGAGCAGGAGCAGTAGCACCCGCAGTAGCAGCAGGAGCAGTAGCAGTAGCACCTGCAGTAACAGCAGCACTAGAAGCATTCGTAGCACTAGTAGCACTACTCGTACTAGTTGCACTAGCACGAGTAGTGCTAGTAGTACTAGTACGAGTAGTACTAGTAGTACTAGTACGAGTAGTACTAGTAGTACGAGTAGTACTGGTACCACTACTACTAGTGGTACTAGTACTACTACTACTAGTACTAGCAGCAGCAGCAGCAGCAATAGCGGTGGCCATAGTTGCACTACTAGTGCAAACTCGGTGCCACAATGATCGCAGCATAATTCAATGACGGAATATATGCAACGCAGGCACCGACTTCGAAGAAGACTTCTCATCGTCCTCGGTGGCTTGCCATACTACGAGCGACAGGATTAGACTACCTGCAGCATGTAAGATGAAACCATCTCTCACAGAAAGGACAACGTTGGCTCCTTGTCGTCCACCACGACGGTGACCTGGGCAACGTCACCATTCCATGGCTCCACAACAACTGAAACACTCCTTCATGTTGATTCCCCTTCAAGCCTGAGCCCCAAACCTCCAAACTACATACTTCAGAAGAGCGACATCGACCTTTTCATCCTCCTTGTCGTCCTTCTTCTTGCCTTTCTTGGCATCCTGCGCCTCTTCTTTCTCCATCTCTTTCTCAACCTCCTTCTCGAGTTCCTTCTCCTTCTTGTCATCCTCCTTCTTGTCATCCTCCTTCTTGTCATCCTCCTTCTTGTCTTCGTCCTTCTTGACGTCAGCTTTATTGTCTTCATCCTTCTTGTCCACTTCCTTCTTGTCTTCTTCCTTCTTGTCATCTTCCTTCTTGTCTTCGTCCTTCTTCACGTCGGCTTTCTTGTCTTCTTCCTTCCTGTCCACTTCTTTCTTGTCTTGGTCCTTCTTGTCGTCGTCCTTCTTGTCGCTGGCTTTCTTGTCGACGTCCTTCTTGTCTTCCTCTTTCTTGCCTTCCTCCTTCTTGCTCACTTCCTTCGCTTCTTTCTTGTCTTCCTCCTTCTTGTCGTCTTGCTTCTCCGATTCCTGAGTCTGCACATTGCGGCCACAGTATGACACAAACTGCCCAATCAGCACAAGACCTTCACCCTTTTTGCAGTCGTGTGGCCTCCTTCTTGGCCACCTTAGTGTCTTCCTTGCTGTCTGTGGCCTTCTTGTCATCCTGCAGCACGAGGATCAATAGTCAAGAGCATCACGATGACTATTGATGCTTTTGTCGTTGCTAGTACTGTACTATACAGCTTCCTTGCCATAAAATGCCATTGTTACTGTCACTTTGTCATGGCTAGAATCACACAATACAACCCGGCACAAACAACCAAGATAGTCGCCGCATCGCTTATGAGGGCACAGAAAGTCGCGTCGCAGCTCGTTCCCTGGCCCCGAACACGGTAAGGCCGTCAAGCAGCGGCTTTCTCGGGCTCGGAGAGGACCTCCAGCTGGAGAGTGTCCAAGTCCGATGCGGAAGCCTGAAGAAAGCCAGGCGTCAGTCTGTGAAGTCCCTGGGTGATCCATAAGGGTGTGCTGGGGTACGCCGGGCCTTCTCCAGCAAGGCCGGGGAGTGCGGCTTCTGCATCAGTCGCGCCTGCACGGCTGCCAGGAGCAGCCTCAGTCATCGAGGGCGCCGTCACGGCTGGAATTTCCAGGGCGCCAGGCATGCCAATGACTGCCAATGCACTCCAAATGCAACTTCCAACCACAACGACGAGCACTCGAAAGTAATGCCCATTGAGCCCTGAGTCGTGAACCAAACCCGAACTCTCCAAACAGGGGGCTAGGTTGATACTGAAACTACAGAGCCCGCATCCTGCGAAAACTCGGAACGACACCCTGCAATATCTGCCATGGCACACCACGGCCAGAGTTCGTCCGCAAACACCTGCCTGTGCAAAAGACATAAAAATTTGCGAATTCGACCGCCGATGCCTGCTGTCGACTCCCTTCGTCGACAAGTGTAGCAACTAGATGCACATCAACTCATACTCGTGATGTAGAAAGGGTCGTTGAAAACACGATAGCAAGGTGCAAACTCAACATGGACAACAAAATCCCGGCCGCTACTTTTCCAGGCAACTTGCGACTCGCATTTCGGACGAAACTCTCTTCAATACCCGTAATGCCGCAATGCTCATGATGCGGTCAAGTGTCCATGGCTTCAGTGTCGACTGGATGGCTTCGTTGGGGTGGTTGGAGCTCGCCGGTTCGAGCACTCGTTCAGCAGCACGCAGGAATCCATGCACGTCTCATGTCGGGGATGTTCCCTGCAAGGGGCAGAGCAGCTGGGACATCAGGGATGGCCTCCGTCAACCCTGCACCAGTGCACCCTCAAGTTGGGGATCTGAAGCTCATGCTCTGCACCCGCACATGAAACAGCTTTCGGCGAAACGATGCCAGGAGTCACCAGCTCCAGAAGAGCCTGCTGCTGCGCCTGCTTGTCTTCGAACTCCTCTTCAGAGGCGGAAAAACTCTTCGGACTACGAGCCTCGAGACATAAACCACTCTCCTGCACTGCAGGAATTGCTTCCAGGTGAACTGCCGGCAAGGCCACATGGGGGCTCGGCCTCGGCTGTTTAGGGTTTAATAAGGAATGTAAGCCACTCTGAGGGGTACCTGTAACGGGAATCAGGAGTACTATCACGAGTACCATAAGGGCTGTTACAAGGGGTACTAAGGGTTTAGGGTTACTATAATTAAGGGAAACTTTCACGCGTACTTCTAGGGGATATTTTGCAGGATACTATACGGTGTATTTCTACGGGGTCAAGGTCGTCAATCCTGCAGGCTATGATTGGGGCTTTAAAGGCTTTGGCGGTTTGGGGCTTCGGGTCTGGCGTGCAAAGAGACCATGCCTAAACCCGAAACAATGAACGAAAAACCCTGGACCCTAAAGCCTACATCCTACACCCTACACCCTAAACCCTGAAACCCTAAACCCAAAAACTCAAGCGAAGAAAGAGGCAGGTAGGCGGTGGAACTGAGTGAGTGCAGCAACTTATCAACATCCCAAAATCTGCGCGCCTGGGACCTGTAAGGTCTGTCCGAATTTTTCAGAATCCGTACATACATCCAGAGAAACGGCTAAAATCTTGAAAGATGGATCGGCAGACCAACAGACAGAGAGACGCCGAAAGCTGGACAGGCAGATGGAAGGCCGACAGAAGGACATAGAAACAGATACACAAACTGATAGACAGAAGGACTGCAGAAAGAAAGAGAGAGACAAGCAAACGCAAGACAGATGGACAGATGGGAAGGAAATACATGAATAGACAGCTTCCATTTTTTCCTGATTCGCGTCACCGGCTGCCCCTCCGCATGGCTGTCAGTCGCAACGTCCCTGTATTGGAGATGATCTCCACTACCTTGGTGGGAAAACGCACAGGCACATGGATCGTACACTCAACGCGACAGCTGATTTGCCTGCTGAAGGCAGGGGGGACATCATGCCCGACCCTGCGGGAGACTTCGGTAGTTGCCAGCCTTCAGAATCCCCCCCTCACCCGCGCCCGAGATGCTCGTACTTGGACTTCTTGCCCCTTGGCCGCCTTTCGGACAACAAAGACCAAGCAACACGCTCCTTTCTGCAGTAGGACTAGACTCGACTCCATGTGGCCCCAGCCTTCTCCGGATACGGAAACTGCGACTTGTGCAGCATACCCTGGACCAGGCCTCCCGACCCCCCACAGTACAACACAAGACGAGTGCCCAGGAAAGTGCCGCTGCCTAGCACAAGTCCCCCGGCCTCCTCCTTCGGGGACCGCAACATCAACGAAGATCGACCAGTTGGAAATGAAACGAACGGTGGCTGTAAACCACTCGGAAGGCCTGCTTGAAACCGAGGCCACGAAAATCATGCGCAACCCCTTTGGCACCCAAACAGATCCTGTCTACACTTGCCGAGGCAAAGCCGAGATGCCTCGCGTCTTCGAAGAAAGAGACGGGATCCTCCATCACAGGCCACAGGCCAGTCTGAGCACATGGACAACGCATGGTGCCCTCTGCCCCGTCCTTCAGCTTTGAAGGCGGATATTCGATCATGGACAGGCCGATTTTGCCGTCCGGCGCAACGCGGTATACCTTGGCGAAGTGGCAAAGCGGCCTGTTGCTCGGACCAGCTCTTGCAAGATACTTTGCAAGATCGCTGCTACTGCAAACAACGTCTGAGAGTAGGTGGCGACACCGAATTTGTACCAAGACTCCCAAACGACCACTTCCTGAGAAGTCCAGGAAAGAAAAGGCATGCTGCCCAACGACGCGATGTGTAGTGAGCTTCTGCGGTTGCCGTCGTGTCGAGAAGCTTTGCGCTGCACGCAGCTTACTAATAGTAGGACACATCAGCTTGAATCTGTAATCGGCACTGGCGATACGATTAGTTGAGCGAAACCGGTCCTCCCCCACGGATACCACATCGAACACATCCTCCACAAAGCCTTGGTTTGGGCGAGTTCGGCGACGCAAAAGCGAAGCGAAAGCATCAGCGCCCTCAAAGCACTACCAGTAAAGCAAGGGGCTCTCGGCCATTCGGGAGATTCGGGCCAGAGCCGTTGCACCAGGGCCTGCGAGCTGGAGGCAACTGGAAGGCGAGCCGAATCTGGCAAATCAGGACCCGGGGTGGAATCGTGATCATACATGTATTTTTATACTCTTTGCAGATTCTGTCTGCTACCGCGATTCAAGAACGACATGAAATTTGGTTTGAAGCAGGTGTCAGACAGCGAAAATCCCCAACCCAAAAGACATCTGGCTGCATGTGGCCGCTTGAGAATCGAGCGTCTCTGTTCTTTCCGCTACGTATCACCTCCGAGACTGACTCCCCACTTTAGGGTTTAGGGTTTCGGGTTACTCCATCCCTCCTGCAAAGCCAGAAACCTGCTGCAAGGCATTGTTAGTCAACAGCAAGAAGCATAGCTCTGCGTGCTGAACACCCGGGAACCCTCCATGCCTATTTCTATGAAGGCGCCCCATTGCGAAATACGCCGCACCATTCCGCGCAGTTTCTGGCCCACGCGCAAGTTGCTGAGCGACACCTGCACACCCGGACTGTGGAAGGCTTTGCAGACACTCACAGACTGAGTTGGCTTCTACACTGACTTGAGATCGATGGCAGGTGAAGACATGACCTTACAATGGTTTACAAAGCCCATCTATGACACTGCAGCTCACCGATCTACATCCCCCGGCAAGCTCAGAGCCTACTGTAACCTTCAGTCTACCTCTCATTGCTAAACTCAAAGGGATCCCCAAGGTGCGATGCTTCAAGAAGAGCGGACTGCGGTGGTCTCTGCGGAAGCACTGCACCACAGCACAAGGAGCAAGTTCCCTCAAGGGCCCTCCGAAACAGCAGGCTTAACAGGATTTCACGAGGCATCGTTGGCAAGGCCGGACCAGTGAGAGCTTTGAGGTTAAGGGTGTAGGGTTTGGAGGTGTAGGGTAACTTACTAGAGTAAGTGGCAACCTGCTCGTGCACATACTGTAAGTGCCTGTCGCCAAACATGCCGACACGAGGACATACATCTAGACAAATGACACAAATATACCATACAAACACGATGAAATTATATGTATATGTATAATGAACATGTAGGTATATGTATATGTATATATGCCCGGTGGATACCAAAGATTTATATTACAAAGATTTGACCTCGCTGCGTCATCAACATCCGTACAGGGTCATGAAGATCCCGCAAGGCATGATATCCTGTTTGCCTAGATTTAGTCCCTCACGGGATCCTGCTTCCTGTAGCAAACCACCATGCACAGTACGAAACCTACTTTGGAAAACCCTTTCTTTAGTGCTGGCAGCCTGTCCAGGTTCCAACACGTCAACGTCGTCAGTGTCAGAGGCCTTCTCGGAAAATTGCGCCGGAGAGGGTTCCTCATCTCCGGCTGCCTGGCATGATGCATGAACAGGGTGCCAGCACGACTAGAACTACTTCGCAGAACCCTCCACCGAACACGACGCGCGAAGATCACTCATAGTTGCACAGTTTTTGGTGGTTGTCATCCCAGTGCTACAGGAAGCAGTAGTATGCATCATCGTCGTCCTGGCTGTGGTAGTGCCAGCAGCAAAACTAGTAATAGCAATAGTAATAGCAGCACTCGTAGGTCGTAGTCGTAGTAGTCGTCGTTGTCGTCGTAGTCGTAGTAGTCGTAGTAGCCGTAGTAGTAGTAGTAGTAGTAGTAGTAGTAGTAGTAGTAGTAGTAGTAGTAGTAGTAGTAGTAGTTCTAGTAGTAGTTCTAGTAGTAGTAGTAGTAGTAGTGGTAGTAGTAGTAGTAGTAGTAGTAGCAGTAGTAGTAGTAGTTCTTGTTGTTGTTGCAGCAGTAGTAGTGGTGGTAGTAGTAGTAGTAGTAGTAGTAGTAGTAGTAGCGGGAGTAGTAGTAGTAGTAGTAGCAGTGGTGGTAGTAGTAGTAGTAGTTGTTGTTGTTTTTGTAGTAGTAGTAGTAGTAGTAATGGAAAAGTAGCAGTAGCAGTAGTCGTGTGTGTGGCTGAGGCATTTTCTTAAATGCGCTGCAGAGGCTGCTGCTGCTACCTCCGACGACTACTACTACTACTACTGCTACTACTACTACTACTACCACCACCATGACCACTAGCACCCCGTTGCTGCCGCTGCTGCTACAATTAAGAACTTCCGATAAAGAAGAGTGCTACGACTCTCACAGTCGGTGGTTGTAAAAATGAAGGTACAGATCTGCTGGTGATACTGCCTCTGATCGGTCAGATGGTGATCGCGATGGTGGCGGAGATGAACCGAAGAATGCGACGAAGATTATCCTGAGATTCTGATGGCGATTATGCTTACCATAGTGAAGTGTGATGTGGATCTTGGTAAATATGGGTGGTTGTCAAAATTATGGTCCCTTTCTGGGTCCCTAATATAGTAAGTACGGCACCTTTATTTAGGGTACCCAGAAAGGGACCCTACTTTTGACAACCACTCGAAAAAATACGGTTATGACTGTGCTGATGATTCGACAGTGGCATGCTTATCATGACATTGACGATGATGACGACAACGATGAGGATGAGAAGGGAGTCAGGCACATTAGTCGGGAATAAGGGGGGTGTGCGAGTCCATCACGAGCATGCGGCATGAGTCAGAAATAGGGAAGCGGGGCATTTGGGACAAGTGGAACAGACATGGCTAGACTCAGGAGCTGTCTAGCTGGACTGTAGGGCGCTCATCCGATGAATATGCCCGCACGGCTTGTCTAGGGTATGTACAAGGTTTTAACACGCAGCAGGTGAAGAATGTCCCATACAATGTAAGTTTTTTACAAGGTCTAGAAAGGCTTAAATAAGGAATACTAGGATATTGCCTATTCGCTCCCTCTGCTACTCGCATGAGGTGCGGATGTGTTTGGTTCCTGACTGTGGCTTCGTGTTCCCGACTCGCGGTGGCTTTGTTCTCGACTCAGCGTCGAAACTCTTCCTTACTGCGGTCTGGCAATGTTCCGGACTCGTTTTTTTACATGGTCCGGGGCAGATTCCGCTAACATTCGATGATGATGATGATGATGCGAAGCAGGACAGCGGTGGCGATGAAGATGCTTTGTT